CTGCAGGCAGGCGGTTCGCGGTGGCGGTGAGTGTGGCGGGAACGGCAGGGTGGGTGGCTGGGCGTCCTTATCGCGTCTCGCCACGGGGCGGACCCTCTCTCGGCCGCCCTGATAAGGGGTCTTTTGGCGCCTCTGCGGGAGCCAGAGCGTTGAGGGTTGGTCCCCGCGGGTGGGGCAAAAGCGAATCAGTAGCAGGGACTTCCGTGTTCTCAATGTGTACCCGCTTGTGTATTAATTTAATGCATGTTTGTGCGTGCTTTGCTGGTGGAAGACCCCTTGCTCTGGGCTGAAAATGGGTTGTAGCTGTGGGTGGATGCAGAGGTGTGGTTGGCGCTGTTCTGGCTGTTAGTGCGTCCTCCTCGCCAGGCTGCTTATACGGCCCGTGAGCCACCCTGAGCTGCAGCGCTTTTATGTGAACAATGGCAATAGGTGGGTGATGTTGGGCCAAAACCACATCTTACTTGTCCAGAAATACTGCTTTATGTTTATTTTTGTCTTTGCCCTTCTAAAAAAAGCCTTCCAGCTTTTAATGAACCAAATAACAATGGCTAGCAGACACCATACTTCTCTTACATGCTCCTGTTAGGGGAAGAAGCTGAGTGGAAAGTATTAATTAGTGTGTTTTCTTCCAGTATGTCTAATTCTGGCTTGTTTCCATTCTTCCAGAGGCACTCTCTGCAGTGTTAATATACAACAGCGTTACATGAAGCAAGATGGTTCTTAGAAAATGTGCTGATGCTAGTTATTAATTAAACATGTACCTTGTCTTCTGGGCTGAAGTGTTGCATTTAAGATCATTGTGCAACTTGGTTGTGTAAAGCGTATGGTTGTGTCGTATTTATGTTATAGGCCAATGTGAATCAAAAAGTCTTTAGTTGTATTGCATGGTGTAAGATACCTTTAGGTAACTAAATTCAGATAAAAAGCACATACTCCATGTAGCTGACTACAAAATTGCTATGCAAATTCAGAATAGAACACTGTTGTCATCATTCTCTGACTCCCTACCCCAAAAAAACATGTACACCCACAGTTTGATGCACCGATGATTGCCTTCAGTACTATCAGCTGGACTTAATACATCTCAGTGCAAATTCAGAGCCGTTAGTTTGTGTTTGACTGCTGTTTTGCACCAGGAGGTGCTGGTCTGTTACAATCCCAGTAAGAAAGACACTCAGACTCTCTAAAGTATCGTCTCAAATGCTATTTGTTAGAGCTAACCTTATAAAGAAAAAGGATAGCATTGATAATCTTACATCCCTTCAGGTGCTGGGAACCCTGAGTTTTGTGCAGCTTTGAACAGAGCTCCTCCAATCCATGTGCAGGATGCTCTGCAGACTCTGCCCATAGAAAGGGTTACCCCTGAAACTTGAGCTGTTAGAGGTTCTTTTACAAGAAAACAACCCCCTTCGTAATTTCAACTGTCAGACAGAAAGGATGTACACATGAGAACTTCCTACTATTTTAGATAAAGGCAAGGACATGTAGGTGTTGTAATCGCAGGTACCCTGTTACAACTAGCTGCTGAACTTATCCTGCAGCCATGGGCTGTGTGTCCTGAAGGCCATGCTGTACATGAAGTGCAGCACAAGACAAGCCTGGACCTACTCAGGTTAACTGCTATGTGGATCACCAAGTCCTTGGTGTACGATAGCCTTCAGGTCAGGATCACACCAACTACTCTGTTATGTCACTCTGTAGAACAAGCCTGCTGTTTGGTGTCTGCTGTAAATTACAAAAATATGGCTTGAGAAGCTAAGCGAGAAGTTGAAAATACAAACTTTTTGTGTGAACATATCCATCAGGTGGGACTTATTTGAGGAAAATGATAACAGCACGGAGAAGGCAGAGCTATTTTGGGATAGTATGCTGTGTGAATGCTCTGCTTTGGAAGCATCCATTCCTCCCACATAGTCAGCCATTCAACCAACATTGCATGCTTCCACTTTTGGTTTTGTTCGGGATTTTTTTTTAAACAAATAATGAGTTTGGACACAGCTGAACTTGGGAGGTAACTTCCTCAGCTTTTGCTGAAATTGACTAGCCAGCTTTGGAGCCCATCCTGAATGCAGTTTCTTTTTAGCAGTTTGACCAGAAACATAGATAGTGAGGATATTGGGGGACAATGTAAAACCTTCCTTTTTGATAAAAAGTTTTGCCACTGTGAGCAGATTGCTGTTTGCAGCAGCTATAAAGCCAGCAACAGGTAATGGAAGATCCTACTGGACCTTTGTTCTGTTGAATTTCACAAGGAAAATGGTTGGATATCGAGCGCTAAGCGTGAGAGAGAAGCCCAGGCTCATCAGAGTCCACATGCAGGTTTTGGCAGTATAGGAACAAGGGATCTTTCAGCTCTTTAAAAGATAGTGTCCCTTTCTGTATGAGGAGGGAGACAGAAAAGAGCAGGAAGACAAAGTTATTTGGGGATTCAGAACATACAAATATGCACTTTGGCTCACTTTGCACACAGCTATTTCTAGTTCTATGTCAGAATGATTAAAAAAAAAGTAAAAATTCATATGTGCACCGGTTTTATGTGACCTGTGTACTGAGGTGTTATTTCCTAGTGTCTATCTTCGAAAGTGCCTCCATTTTGTCTTCTCTGCTAGCCCTGGCTTCATATCAGAGAAAGGTTTTTTAGTGTTTGGAGAAAAAAAAAAGAAAAGTCTTCTCATTTGGTAGCATTTACCTGTTGCAGGTATATAACAATTCATAAACGATTACGCTTGTTGCAGAATGTTTCTGGTTTTCTTCACAGTGCCAGACAGCCTTGATAATGAGCTGTAGTTCAGCTCTGAGTTGGTGAAAATTTCATTTCAAGGGTGACAAAGCACATATCTGGCATAAAAAGATGGGACTTATCCTCCAGTAGTGATGTTCTTTGGAGCATTATTTTGTTGTTTGTTTTTCTGGGCCATGCCTTCATAGGTGTCTTTACCATTCACTCCTAATCAAAATCCTGTCTGTATGAGGTCTTCAAACTTTAACCTGCACCAGCTGTTTCTGACAAAATGTGTTTATCCCCAGCTGCAGTGGTAATGAGAGCTTGGTTCCTGAGCCAGCTGGTAGTGAGCTGGTAGAAGAAAAAGACTTAGTGCAGAAGTCCTATGGAATTACTGTACACTAAGGGCAGACAAACACCTCGTGCTCCCTTCTGCCTCATCAGTGTTTACTGCTGATTTTTTTTTTTTAAAAAAAGCATGTTTTCTTTCACCTGAGCTTCTCTATTAATTGTGTGTTGTTGCACGACACTGCTTTTTGTACTTCTCAACTCTGAGAAATCTTAAACCTGTGTATTGTAAAGGGGAAAAGAGAATAAGAAAGGAGAGGAGAAAAAGGGCTACTTTTCTAGTCTCTCAAGAGTAGCTATTCTCCTTTTTATGAGTAAAAACTATAAGGAACCTACTTCATCTTTATTCTAGCATCATGAGGACCTCTATAATTGTGTGTGTTTATTTGTGCACAGGAAAATGTAAATTGTTGCAGCTTACTGAATCACTGCAAAACTAAGTTTGTTCTTGTTCTTTAGGCAAAAATGTCTGCAGTGTGCAACTTTGTTACACTCCACACTGGGCAGAAGATGCCTCTCATAGGACTGGGAACCTGGAAAAGTGAACGTGGCCAAGTAAGCAGAGAACAATACAATCTCAATTAGTATTTGTGTTTTGTGCACCTTTTTTGAAGATCCCAGATTTGAGGCCTGGATCCTTCTCTTGAATGGTTTTAGTCTTCGCTCCACTGAAGTCCGTGGAATGTATGTATGTGTTTGCATGACTAAGGCCTTAAGGCACAAAAGCAGCAGCAGATGATCCCTTAAGACTTGTTAATGCAGGCCTGGGGCCGTGGTGCTCTGGGAGGTGAATCCAGAAAGAGACCGATGAGTGAGTGGAGTGAGACAGGGAAAATGCTGTAGCTGTAATAAGGTGCCTGACTCTTCCACTGGTAAATCCTCAGGCTCCCAGTTTGACCAGACATCCCTCTGGCTTGGGCTGATTACTCAGCTGAGAGCGTTATTTTGGGAGGCAAGAACTGTAGTTGTTCTTGTCCTAAGTCCTGTTCCAGCAGTCAGCCTATGTTTAGCAGAAAAACAAAGAACTTGCTTGGGTCATCCTGCTTTCAGACTAAGAAGACTAATGTGTCATTAGACATTCACTCTGCTTCTAAATGCAATGAATTGGCAAACGCCACACTTGGAAACAATTCTCTGTGTGTTATTTCAAACTGTCTGTGGGAATGTTTGCATGCTATTGGCTGTGCCTCCTATTGTAATACCTCTCCCCCTTGTCTGTTTTCCTTTCTGTTTCATTTAGTCGAAAGATAAATTCTCGGGGGGGAAGAGTTTGCTCAACCTTGCTGTGAAAGGCATTTCTTTCCACCATTGCTTGGTGGAATTCTTAGCTGGTATTGTTTATAATGTCTTTTGGATTATGTGTAACATTGCATGTCTGTGCAGTAAGTGTATTATCTTGCTGTTACCCTTGTGTTAGCTTCATGATGGTTTTTGGAGTATGACATCGTGCTCGTGACTGAGAGGGAAAGTTAAAACCCTTCTCGAGATGTTGTGCTATTCTCTTGTGCCAGCTAGAGGAAAAGATGGGAAAATTAAATCTATTCAGAGCCGTGGTATTGTTGCTCTTCCTGTCCAAACAACTGTCAGGACAGTGGATCTGTTGGGAATAGAAGCTGTGCTAATGTGGAAGCTGAGTTGGTGTGAGAGCTCAGTCAACCTCTTAAATGAGGACAAGGGTGAATGTTCCTCTCCATCACTTAAAACATCAACTGACAGCTCAATTAAATTTATTACCATGCAGAAACTTAATGGATGAATTTGTGTGCACCCAAAGCAGTTAGATGTGCCTTGTCTAAAACAAATGCCTGAAACTCAACAAAAAAAAATATGAATGCATTGTTTATTTTGTGCACTAACTGTTCTGAGGAAAGTGTAATCTTATAAAAGAACTAGGAAAGATCCTGCTTGTGCGTAATTTAAACCTAATTCAGATGGATTTTGCCATAGTAAGCAGTGCTCCCAGCAGCTAAACCCCATGTGGGATCCAGTCATCTTCTCTGGGGTCCCATTGAGAGTCACTTCTTTGGAATATGTCCTGTTTTCAAAGACTTATTCCTAGAATGTATTGAAGGCAAAAATCTAGAAAGTGCAGTGAAAATGGTGAGTTACAGAAGTTACTGCTGTCCTCTGGAATAAATAAATTCCTGTTTATCACTTCTGAAAATTCAGAAGCATAGCAGCAATTTGGCAGAGTGTCCAGATGATTTACCCTTCAAAGGACATAATGCAGTTCAGGGAGAATAATTGTAATTATGAATTAAAGACTAAGGGCCATAAACCTAGAGAAGCAGAAGAATTATAATTGATTATGCTTAACCTAGCTGTTTCCCAAGTAGAGGCTATTTCTCGAAAGCTCTTTTGTGCAAGGTCTGCATTAGAAGTAAGAGTGGAAGGGGATGGCTTTCAAAGTATTTCAGGTAAATATTTTGCAGATTGTAATTATTTTCCTTGCCAAGCTGCTTTTCAGCCTTGACCTTAGTCTCTTGAGTAATTTATTATTGCTGTTACTATTTCTGATCCTAAACAAGCCTTGACCTTGTAGATAGATCTTAGCAGTCCAGTACAAAGCTGTCATTGCAGCCCTAGTTTCTTAGATGGTAAGAATGTGTGGGGGGGGCAGAATTACTGAATCTAAATGCATGTTGGAAGACTAGGATTTTATAGGATTTAGATCCTATGCTATAGGATGTTTTCTGTCTTACATGATCAAATGCTAGAAGAGAGATTTGTTTTACATGTTACTATAGGAACATGATGGAGGACTATTGAACAGAAGGGAGCATAGTACAGAAGCTTCTGAACTGGCAGCATGAATGAGTTCAAAGAGAATTCCATTCAGACAGGAGCATCAAGGATATCAGTACCATGTTTTTTTAATATTGGAGCTTGATTATCTGTAATCCTTTAATGCTTTGTTCTCTTTTATCAAGTTGGCCATGCTTTCAACCTGGAGGATAGATACCCATCTGATGAACGGTCTAACCTGCTGTGGCAGAGGCTGGTTCTGTGGGGAAGAGAGACAGGGGGCTTAGGGAAGTTATGTTTCTGTGCAAAACTTCAGGAGAGCTGAAGAGGAAATGCATACTTAAGAAAACCAGTCGGGACTGGGTGTCTTGTGACAGGATTGCAGCTATGGAGCAGACTGTTTAGTTCCTGGAGAAGTTTGTCAGGCAATATAGAGAATCCTGGTTATGTGCACAAAAATTCACTACTGCTGGTATATATTAGGAGAGGGACTTGAATTCAACATTTGAAGGATGAGAGGCAAACCCCTTTATTTTAGGGAACATAAACTTAAGTTGCCATTACTTATGCAGTGGTCCGAGTTCCTTTTCAGCAGATTTAGTACAGTACATACAAACTGTGATGTAGCAACACTTGTGTTCTGGTTGTATTGCATCTGAATATCATGTGGACTGATGGCCTGGTTTTCTTCTGTTTCCTGTCAGCAGATATACTTGAACTGCTAAAATGTGACAATTTTGCAGGAAGCAGGGGAAGCTGTTGGAGCCTTTTCTTTCCAGGCTGTACTAGTAGAGCAGAATCTAGAAAAAAATATCCAAATCTTGTTCACCTAAAAGAAAAGAGCCTAGATGTGAGGTGCAGTCCTGGCAAAAGGAAAAGGTTGAATATTGCAAATTCTGAAAACGTTAATTGCTTCAAGCTTCTTAGTTAGGCTAATTTCATCCTGCTACGTTGAAGATGGGCAAAGGTGTCTCTACAAATAAGCTACATTAAAGCGAGTCTCTATTCCAAGTAGCTCTTGAGCTTTTGGTTACACGGGGCCTCTAAAAGCACAGTGTGAACAATTCTGCCTTTGACAGTTATAGTTGAAAAGGCCAGAGGAGGAGAGTGGGTAAACGGAACAGTCTGGAAAAGGTAAGAGGACAATGAAGGGACAGCACACAGGAGCAATGCACCCAGCGTAGGTATTTCCAAGTATTATTGACTGAAACTGTTAGAGTGAAAGCCTCTTCATGATGGCTTGAGGCCGTGCAGAAGGCTCCTTAGTCACTTGACCTCTGTGTTGCTTGGAAGTACAAAGATGGTTTTCACCTTGTGATGGGCAAATTGAAGAACTGGAAATCTGGTAACAGATATTATGATGAATTGGGACTTACAGATTCTGTTTCTGAACCTGACGTTGATTGTTAGCAGTGTCGTGTTCCTCCATTTTCAAAAGTGGGTGGGAAGGCCAAGTCCCTTGCTAGGATGTATAGATGGGAGCGTAGTTCCTAGGCTTTGCTGTATAATGAAGGAGAGTAAGGCTTCAGCTGCAATACCATGTCTGTTTCGGGGCAAACCGCTTCAAGAAAAACGTGAACCAGCTGATGAGACAGCAGCAATGTTGATACAAGGTGTGGGAAAAGTGAGTTGTGATGAAAGACGGAAGAGCCTACAGTTACGTGGTCAAGAGAGGTTTGAGAGGAGGCACACTGACGCTTTCCAAATGCACAAAAAGCCCTTGCAAAGGGGAAGCTATGGATTTCATGTCTGTGCAGAGTAGATGTGACATCGGGGTCATCTTGGTTAGACATCTAAAACGCTTTGAACATGAAGGTATCTAAGCATTGGAATAGATTGCCTGTCACTTCTAAGAAGGGTTTTGACAAACGTGTGTAGGAGTGGTTTAGACTTAGTTGGTCCTATGGTGGGGCATGAGGATAGACTAGATGATGTCTCAAGAGTCTTTTGGACCTACTTTCTGTAGTTACATGATGCTAGGTTGGTGAGTCTTGCTTAAGCAGTGTGACTCAATTTGCCCAATGTAAAGTGAAGTCAGTAATTGCTCGTTCCATAGCAGTATTAACAAGCTAAACTAAAAAATATAGGGAAAGTTTGAAAGATCCTTTGGCTATTATTACTTCACAGCACCAAATATCGGGAGGCATATGAATCTCCAACTTCTGTTGTCTTTTTTTTTATTTATTTTTTTCCTTTTCCCCTCAGCCCCCCAGGAAATGCATGTGCCTGTCTGAACATAATCTCAAAAATACAAAACTTTCTGTTAAAACAAAGTACTCTTAGGTTTACATCTGTCTGTTATTAGGGTCCCCCCCACCAAAATGAGGTTCTTTTTGGCATTTTCTGTTGGTTATTTGCCTTTTGCATGAAAGAGGAGCTCTCAGTTCACATTGGAACGTCTTAGTAGGCTGAGAGTAATTTACACAAATACAAATGCTGCGCAAGTCCAAATGCAAGTTTAAATGACCAGTCCCAGTTTTTCAGTGTTAGAAATTTATTAAAACAGTCCAATACAGAAATGTGGCCTCTTGTTTGGCGCTTTGCAGAGAGGTGTTTGGAGTGCCTTATCCCTAGTGTTCTGCTAGTGATGCGTACTTTCATTTTATGTGAAATTTTTTACCTGTTTGGGTAAAAAAAAAAATAGCCTGATAGAGGAAATGGGGGATTAGTACAGACAAAGAACACTTCTGTTTTTCCTTTCCTCTCTGCTTCGGCTCCACAGCTCTCACCTTTTTGGAGTGGATATTGAGCCTTAAAAGCCTTGAATATGTCTCAAGTGATTTCAGAATTACTACGACCTTGATTTTGTGGTGACCTTCTGAGGAATGTCTTTATCGAAGTGAAACAAAGGCTGTAAATACCAGCCTGCTAGAGGAAGAAAGAGCTTACTTCACTGCTGTAATAGAAGTGCTTTGTCATTCTGGCTAAGGGAAACTGGTCTACATTCCAGTTTTTCCTCTCAAAATGCCAAAGAATGCAGTCAGAATATCCTGTGTCTGCCTTTACTGAAGTTTTTGACAAGAAAAATAAATAAAATCCACCAGTAGAAGACAGATATTTTCCATGTGTGATTCCCCATTCTCTTTCTGTAGCATCTGAAAGCAGGACTGTACATGTCTTTAATTGTTGTTAATAATTTTGTCAGCTTTAAAATTGAAAATGCCAGTACTTTGATTAAGTTGAAAAAAAATGAGTCTCTAGCCTTTGTGGACACATTTTTTAATCTTTTGACAAGAAAGTCACAATCTCTATAAAGAGATTAGGGCCCTATTGTCCCTTTTCACTGATTGTATTGGGTAATTATTTCTGATTACAGGTGAAAGAAGCAGTGAAATATGCCCTGAGTGTGGGTTATCACCACATCGATTGTGCAGCAGCTTACAGCAATGAAGCGGAGATCGGTGAGGCTTTCCAGGAATGTCTTGGGCTCAACAAGGTAAAAACCCGAGAATCACCATGCTGACTGTGTGTTGTATCAAAATTTACAACTGTGACCTGAAAGTAGACTGCAAAGTTAACATTTGTGGCTTTTCCTCCTGGTCTATCCCAGCTGCTTGTGATTAATCAGGAGTACACATGAAAGAGGGCTTTTATACCCATCCTGGCTGTCAAGAGGAGAAAAGATTGTCGGGAATATTTGCATGGAAGCTACAGAAAATGCTTTTCTTTTTTTTTTTTTCTTTCTTTTTTTTTTAATTTCCCTGTCCACCCCTTTCCCCTGCAAAGTACTGGGTGTTCAAAAATTGGAGGTTCCCAGTATCAGTACTTATAATGTAAAATATTTGACGTGATTTATATGAAAAGTTACTCTCGTTTGCCGGTTTAGGATAGGATGCGATGGTGGGTAACCACAGCAATTTCGGTGACTGTGGGTTTTTTGTTTATAGATCAAATGTAAGTGAGTAATTATTATTTAAACAGTGATTGCATTTGAAGGTTTGGTCACTGTGAGTCTAGGGCCTGCACTCGAGGGTCCATGGCCTAAATATAGTGTCATGTGACAGGCATTATTATGGATGACCTAAGGTGGAATCTTAAAATTCATCCCCTTGCTCTTGTTGACCTAAGGGGCCAGAAGGATTGTGTGTACAGCCTCAGAGCCCCTGGAAAGAAAGTTCTTATGTTCCTGCTTTCCTGCTGCTCTTGCCCTGGCTTTGGGGCAATCTCTTTGTTATGCGATTAGTTTGAGAAAAGCCGTTTCCAGCTTGCCCCAGGGATTCTTTCCTACTAGGTACGGTGACTAATGTAGGGAAGCATAGGACTCTCTTATTCAGTTTGTATTAGCTAGCTAGCTAACTTAAAACTGGGATTTTTAAAACATCTTTCTCTTTGAACAGCCATATGTGAAACATAGAAATAACGGAGTAGTTGGAGAGAAACTAAGGAAATAATCATTCCAGCTTCTACAAAGCTGGAATTAGTGAAATTCTAGTGAAATTTGGTCACCCATAAGACAGAGGTGCCCTCTGATGGTGTTCTGTGCTTCAGATTGCCAAATACGATCTTCCTTTTGCATTTTATACTTCCTAGTTAACCAATTATTTATTTGTTTAATTTCTGGGTCTTACCCTTCCAATACAGGGCGCTCAGTTCTTAGTGAATTCCCTTCAGAACCTAGAAACTCAAGTGCAGAGGTTTGTGGAAACTTCTGTTTATTTTCCCACGCTTCTTCCGTGAGAAGCATTCTTGGTTTATAGCATGTGATGCGTATAGTAAGTTAGCTGGTTGTGCCTAGAATATGTGAATTGTTAAATAGAAATTACAAGGTTTAGCTATGAATAAACTGAATAATTTTCCTTTGTCCACATCACATGTAGTAGTGGCTTTTACCCTTGAACTGGAAAGTTTGGAAAAGTGTGTGTGTGGAGAGGATTGTTTTGTTTTTCAGAACTTATAATAAATTGCTAAGTATTTGGTGTACTTTTGGACTGCCAATGTGTGTATTTCTCTTGCTCTTCTCCATCCAGTATATTTTGAAAGGTTTAATTTGTAGATTCCATGTGCTACCTTTTTTCTAAAAAAACCCCCAACTTAAACTGTTCTCTTTGTTTTAAAGCTAGTTGGGGAATTGCTGCAATTCTCTTTCTGAACTTGTCGCAGTAAATTATGCTTTCCTCCCTTTTTTAAAGGTTATTAAAAGGGAGGACCTGTTTGTAACATCAAAGCTCTGGAATACCAAGCACCACCCAGAAGATGTAGAGCCAGCACTAAGGAAAACACTTAGAGATTTGAAACTGGATTACCTGGACCTGTACCTCATGCACTGGCCTCATGCCTTTGAGTAAGTTCTACATGGAAAGGGCACAGAATGCAGAAACCCCAGTTTTACATGTTGTATACTGAGGACCTTTTTTCTCAGCTGTGATTTCTTCCTGTGTATACTGCCTGCAGGATGTTTTTCAGTGTGGCTAATAGTGTAGTCCTATGGACTGTCATATAGACACTCTTTTCTACCCATAACCTGTACACTCACTCATAGCTGGTCCATTCAGTCACAGAAACAATTGTTCAAATTTCGTTTTTCTTTGAATTTCAGTTGAGTGGGAATTTGTTTACTGTTAGATTTGCAGCATGTCTGTAAACATACAATAGAGGAGACAAAAACTTTTTTTGTTAGAAGTATTGTAAATAAAAAAAGTCTAGTTGTTCTCGTTACTTAGCAATGATGAGGCTGGAAAAATGAGTATTAAGTCTTCATTTAAAATCTTTAAGCAATGACTTACATTTTTCAATAGTGAGAACAACTAGGTAATGAAATTAGGATCACTAAACTTCTGACAGTTTGGCATGGGTGCCAAAGTTAGGTAGCTGAAAGTAACTGGGAGAAAGTAATGAAGCTTTATGGGACAGGTTTCTATACTGAGGCTTGCCATCTTACACTAGCTGAAAATCTGGTTTGCTGTGAGGTAAAATCTTTGTCACGTTTAATATGTATTAGAAGTTTAAAATAGTCCAGTGTCTTTGTCTAGGCATTGGGGAAGCATGGCAGCTATTCCTCGTTCTGCCGTTGACATACATGGTGACCTTGAGGAAGTTCTGTCACTGCTTTCTGCCTCAGTTTTACTTTGTAAAGTGAGAATTAAGTGCTTTGTAAAGACGGGAGCGCTTTTCACTAATAGTTACTAGGTGGACTGGAGTGGCCAAGCGCATGTAATATGGTGGTAGCTGTATAAGGAGGAAATGAAAATCACTTCTTATGACACGATTTGAGGAAATACAAGATGAGAAAGTTCTCCGGTTAAATGCTCAATGCACTTATCCTACAACCCCGTCAGAAGCCCCCCCCCCTACAATCAGTAAAAAGGCAGGGGGGGGAATCAATCTCCTGACCAGATGTTTGCATGGAGACTTCACTCAACAGGGGAAGCCCTGTCAGTCTAAGGGGCTTTTGTCTGTTCTGCAAATTTGAGAACTTTTTTCCCCTTCTAGCCATACGAATTGAATTTTACAAAGCATACAACACTGATGATAAGAGGAAAGATGCTCAAAGTACAAATCTATTCCTTAGCATAACAGAATGAGGAAGTGTTTTCAATTGGAGCTGGTTTGGAGAAAGAACTGTTAAAAATCCCCCCTATTGTGAAACATGTTTGTTTTCCAGTTGATTGAAGAAAAAAAAAAAAAGTGAACATTGCTTTAATAATAACATGTAATGCAAATAGTGATAAATGTTTAGATATTACTAATACTTAAATGTGCTTGATGTTGTGAAAACTGTTGACAAAACTGACGTTCTAATAAAGCACTTTTATGTTTTCTCATTGGAAACTGTTTACTCTACAATTTTCCATGAGCTCTACTGGAACTGTTTTAATGCGTGGTTATCTCTAATGCCTATTGTATTAAGAAGGTGAGCCAATAAATGTTATTTACACAGAAATTAAAATGGACTTCCAGATGAAAATCACAGTGACCCTAGGTCTTGAAAATTAACCTCTTGCTTAATATACTATTCTTGACATATAAGGCTCCTTTTCTGAGTTGGGAGCTCATAAGGCTTTCAGAGTTATTTTTTGTTCTAGATTTATCAGTGACATAAAAACCAACCATCTCCCCTTGTCCCCAGCTGCTGCCATTTCTCACACCGTATGCCTCTTAGCTAGAGCAGTGTAAGTCAGCCTCTGAGATCTGAGCTAGCAGTGTCCTGAAGTGGTTATGAAGCAGCGCTCTTCCAGTTTGTACTCCTCCAAGCATGGACTGCTCGGAGAGCAGTCGTAGCCCTTTGGCAGGGTGGTGGTGTCACCTGGCATAACCAGGTTCTTTGTGTGGTGGGTTTTTTTAAATTTTTATTTTGTCTTTTAAATGGGTTGGTATGAGTAACTGGAAACACACCCAACCTATAAGCAACAGGTACATGTTAAGACTTCCGTGAGAATCTGCACTTGTATTGAGTACTGACACTGCTACAGAATCCAGAGGGAGTGGAAAGGCCAGTGTACTTTGAATACACTCTCTCCTAGACAGCTCTTAGACCAAGATCCCCTTGGTAGCAGCTCCAAACTGACTATGAAGAATATCAGTCTTCTCAAAAACGAATTGAAAAACCAAAGCTGCCCTCTGAGTTGCTGCTCTGTAAGTCAGCTGTTTTGCTAGGATCAATGTGTGCAAAGAGCTGCTGCTGTGTATACAGTGGCTTATCAGTTCTGTGTGGTCACTACCATATAGGTAGGTAGTTCAAAGTACCATATAACAAATTTACATAGGAAAGACTGTATGTGAAATTTCTTATAGGTTAAGTCAGCATAATGGAATTCATTCAGTTTGTACTCTGCGCTCCAAACTGTGAATAAGCTTTTAAGAATACTTTGGGGAAAGTTTCTTTTAGTGAAGAACTAACGTAGTATGAGTAACGTGGTATATGTACTTACACTTTACCTTTTCTGCAGACGGGGGGACAATCTATTCCCAAAGAATCCGGATAACACAATGCGTTATGATTACACGGATTACAAGGATACCTGGAAGGCTATGGAGAAGCTGGTAGAAAAAGGTCTTGTGAAAGCCATTGGGCTGTCAAACTTCAACAGTCGTCAGATTGATGATGTACTAAGTGTGGCTACTGTCAAACCGGCTGTGCTCCAGGTAAGATGTATAAAGGAGAGGGCAAATACCTTTCCTATTTGTCCATAAGAGTGAAGAATTTGTAAACCAATGCTATGTGTCTAGCACAAACGGTGCAGCTTTGTATGTACAGGGAAGAATATAGGTAGCTCTGCAGGTGTAGGCACACAGAGGTGGTCTTTCCAGGTAGATTAATTTGTTGGAGAGGAGGCCTGTATCCATATTCTGTGGCCATTTATGGCTGCTTCGTTGAACAGATCTATGGAAGAGCTCATCTTCCCTGTGAGGAACGATTTAGTCTATAAGAAGGAAATATTGTGAATCCCTTCTATAGAGAGCTTCCTTGCTTGTTGGATCATCTGTTTGGTACATAGGGAAAAGCCAGCACTCTAAACTTAGGCGATTTGTTCTCCTTTTCCTGTAAACTTAGCCTACCAGACACTTTTTCATTCTCCTGGTAACTTAAACCTTATCCTCATAAGGTTTTCCAGAATCTGGAGTGACCTTCTGTGATGTGTTAGGTTCTGCTGTGCTTTTGACTTCCTGTTTGTTTAGAGTTTTGTGTTGATATCTGTTCTCTAGGCACTCATTTTTGTCATTTTCATAGGTAGAATGCCATCCTTACCTAGCTCAGAATGAGCTGATAGCTCACTGCCAGAAGCGAGGACTGATTGTCACTGCCTACAGTCCCCTGGGTTCTGCAGATCGCACGTGGAAACACCCGGATGAGCCTGTGCTTCTAGAAGAACCTGGGATCAAAAAACTGGCAGAAAAATACAGCAAGTCACCTGCACAGATCATCCTCAGGTACAGAACAATTGTGAGAGAAGGTGGCACTTGGGTCCCGGCCTTAAATAAAATAAAACACACAAGCTAGAAGGAATCTACTTCAAGTGCGTGTTCTTCGACATCAGTGGGGAGTTAAAATAGCAGGAGTGCCAAAAGCAAACCCCATTCGGTCCTTGTTTTACAGAGTTGGTAGAGTTGGTCCTGCTTTAGGGCAGGTGGATGGACTAGGTCAACGGGGTCCACTCAGGGCCTGGATCCATGCCTGGGACAGTTCACTGCCTTTTCTGCTGTGGAATAGCAGTTGGACAATTAAGGCAGCAGAGCACCACGTTTGATTTGCACATGGTCAGTTGCTTGAACCCATGAGCTCTTGCTACTGCGTCCAAATGGGCTCTCAGGAAGAGGGGCTGAGGAAGGGACCTTTCTTCTTGAAACTGAATAACCATTTGCTGTTTTGGTTTTATGTAGCAAAAGCCAGCTGCTGGATACTGGGAAACAAGATGATTGAGTGATATGCAGAATATGAACAGCACCTTGTAAAGTAAAATTGGATTTCTATCATCTTTTTGTTTGGCTCTGTATCTATCAATATCATTAGTACGGTCTTGGGCCGCAGCAAGTTACCCTGCCACCTGAACGTGTTCAAGATTTTGTGTTCAAACTACCAGACAGGCCATTGAGGGATCTGTTTTTTCTTCTAGTTTCTCAGTGGTTGTCATGTTAGAACTTGTGTAAAATGCTTAAGTACGTTTTTTCTGACTGTTTCTTGGGTTTCTAGCTTAAAGCACCTGCAACTTGCTAGTTCAAAGGCATTAACATGTTCCTCTCATTGATTAGTCCAGTGGCTACTGTTTTGCTTGACCTTGGACATGCTAGGTCCTAATACAATACGGTGCTATGTCAGCCCTCTTCTTGGTATTTTTATTTCACGTAGAAACATAAGTGGCATCTCTGATGACACAGGCTCTTACTCAACTAAAATAAATATCATGGTTCTTGGGCTGCACACACAGAAAATCTCTCTACTCCTCCTCCTCTTGACAGGTGGCAAGTGCAGCGTAAAGTGGTTGCCATTCCCAAGAGCGTCACTCCTGCTCGCATTCAACAGAATGTCCAGGTAAGTTTAAATGGAGGAAAGGAGTTTCAGCAATGCCCTTTCATGTGAGTAATATGCTGTCCTACTACTTGCAGAACAATAAGCTGAGGCACTTGATTCATACTTGCTCATCAGTGTATGCACGCGCTTAGAAGGGAGGGTAAAGATTTTTGGAAAATAAACTTGATATGTTTTAAGCAACTAAGTATGTGAGTGTGCGTGTATGTGCGCATGCACAGTCTTGTTATCAAAAGGTAAAGAATATACTTCGTAGAGGTTAAATGAAAAATCTTTGCTGACATTTATCTGAGATACAGATTTATTGAACAAGGTGGTTATATTTTCTCCTCCCCATCCCACCGACGGTGCGGGGGGGTAGGAATGAGCAGGTGGCTGTGTGGTGCTTTGTTGCCAGCTGGGTGCACTTAAACCCCGACAGTGTGCACATAAGTGCACGTGCATGGTCTTGTTGTCAAAAGGTAAAGAGCGTACTTTGTAGGAGTTAAATAGACAATCTTTACTGAACTTTATCTGAGATACAAATTTATTGAACAAGGAGTTCTTATTTGTGAGTAACAGTTGCTCTACCCTGCAAGTGAGGGCTGGTGACTATTTCTGCAGCAAACTGTCATTGTAGTGTTGCTGAAGGAATAGAATCAGTGTGATTCACTTCTGCTCTGAAATAGAAATAGTTTACTTTAGAAATTATTTGAAATCTCTGACTTCAAATAATTTGGAGGGAAGTCTCTGAATCACACCCTGTGACCTTTTATTTTCAGCCCTTAGTCATACAGATGGGCTGGTTACATGACTTTAAGTTAGGACTTGTTTCTGTAACTGTTAACTCCCATGAAACTGAGTTCTGCCATGCAGTATGCTGCTACAAGTGTCAAGAAACTCCAGTAAGCTCTGCAGTTACTCGATGTTTAGATCTACATGGGAACAGAGTATTTGATTGAATAGGCAGCACTTGGAGGAACAGTCTTGCTGCTTTTTATCTTTGTGGAAGAGTGCTATGCAGTACCAGTATAAGCTTAGAGCTGGCAAGTGTATGAACACCTCAGGCTTTAAGCCTTAGTTTTCATGTTTGTTATAAAATGAATTTAATTACCACTTCATATTTATAAAAAGAAGACAATCCAGTACTGTGTGGAGCCAAGATTTTTACAGATACATAAATTCTGTTGATCAGAGTTGCATGGAAATTCCCTCTGTTTGAGGCTTGGACTTATCAAAGTTGCAGCTTCTGAAGGTGTTCGAAATACCGCAAGTTGCGTTATGTTTCATTTACTTGGGTTTTAACACTAGGATCTTGCAACTCCGGTATAGCACATACCTTTTTCCTTTTGGAAGTACGAAAGAAATATGTAACTACAGCTTAATAAATTAGTCTAGTCTTGTGTGTGTGCATATGTGTGTTTGCCTCAACTACAACTGTGTTGTTGCATTGTCAGCTGAAACTGAAGACTGAAATAGTCAGCAATGCCTCAGGTCACTGCTGCTGTTCCACTGTGTCCTGGATTATTGAGAAGTGGAACCTTTTTGCCTTTAAGTCAGCTCTATTGCTTGTGGATCTCTGGAGAAATTTGCAGCATAAGGGGATGGTTGTGACTTACAAAGGAAACAAAACCAAGAGGCAAAACTCAGCATCAATCAAATATGAAAAAGCTTTGTTTATTGAATAAAGCCTCTTGCTTTTGTTCTCAGGTGTTTGATTTCAGCCTCACAGAAGAGGAGATGAGCCACATTGGAAGCCTGAATAAAAACTGGCGTTACATTGTGCCAATAATTATGGTAAATTTCTCATGTTTTTATTAGTTTTCAATATGTGCATGTGGCCACAACCTGGGGTTTTTGTAGTTTTCTTTTACTGTCTCCATCAGAACTGCTTCCTGATAAGAACACTACATCTTTTTAGGGTATCTAAGGTGAAAGAATTTTTCAAAAGCTGGTTACAAAAGAGGTAACTTTTTGAAAACTTCACTGTTTTGGCCACTGATGGCTCTGAGTTGTAATTACTGATCTGTCCATGGGCCTTTAAGCCAAAGTCCCATCTTACTTCAGATCTCCCCAAACTCCTGCTGATTTGTTCTTCCCATGTACAAGCAGACTAAGGCCCAGGCCATTCTTCCAGAAGTACTCCTTGCTCCAACTGCCCCCGCCTGCTCTATACCATAAACCTCTGTTAGTGCTGTTAGTTCTCCACATCCATCCTGGAAGTCACATGAGGGAATTTGTCTACTCCCCTCCACTGGATGTCCCACCTTTCAGCATCTGTTGTAATGACCTTCCACCAATGTAAGGAGTTTGGCTTAGGCTGTTGTATTTTTCTTCCCAAATCCATTAGCCGCAGCATCTTTTAGCATCAGTAGTTTACTCTGTCCCATGAAACCTTACCTCGTGTGCTATCAGATGGCAGTCTGTTTTTAGAGAAACCAATGTCTTGTAAGTACGGAAGTCCTCTTGGTCTTTCTTTTCTTGTATTAAAGGACCTAATCTTGTTCCTTTCCCCTCACTGCAGAAAAAAACCCCAACAAACAAAGTCAATGCCTTGTTGTCTCCTGTCTCTATAGTGTTCCTCATTTCTTATTGTCCTGCTTCTGACTATACAACAAAGAGCTGTTGCCATTCCCTGGTGCATCACCAACCTACGTATGCCAACTGTGCTATAATGAGTCTGAAGTGATTTATCCCTTCTCTATCATGCAGTACACAGTGCATAGATACATTAGGACTCTGCAAATTTGGAAGCTGTCAAGCATAGCCTTGCCTCTCCAGCAGTTTGTCTGCCTGTAAATTATTCTTAATAGTTAGTGGCTACTAGCTATAGGAATTCTTTGGGGAAAACTTTTCTCCAGGATTTATGATTGGTTTTGAGTACTTGAGAGCATATCAGTGACTAGTCTGAGTTAGAAAAGAAAAGTTGAGAATGTGTGGTGAATGACTGTCTCGTATCAAGGGTAGATACTTGTTACAGCTTGTGCTGTTTCTTGTGCTGGGTCTTAGGAGAACTTCAAGGCTGTGCTTCAGTATGTGTGCGTAAATATAAACCCCCACATCCCTGCAACCAAAATTATCTTTGTGTTCATGGATCAGGAGTCTGTACACCAAACTGCAAGCTTAGCTGCTGATCTGTGTGAATGTGGTAGTGACAAGCAGACCTGCTGCTGACAGTATGTTTCTTTCAAGTGTTCTGCTACTCATGCTGCAAACAAAGTTGTTTTGTTAATAAAACTGGAAAATACATGCGAATGTAGCCTGGCTTGGATGAGCTGAGGGTAATTCATGTGTTTTCATTACCTGGGAGACCTGATGAGATCACAGTGATTCACAAAGGAGAGATGAAATACAGTTCAAAGTGCTAGCCCATCCAACTAGAAAAAAGGATGAATGCGATGCAGCTGGGCTTCAAAGATATTGCCATATTGGTGGATAACAAGACAGGAAGAAGCAAGATGAGGAGAATTAAAACACGACTCTGTAGCTGTAAGATTTCTAGGGGAACCTTTTGTCTCCTGCCCATCCCTTCTGGGCTTATTGGAAAGAATTTTCATCAACTATGAATTAAAATTCCTGTCTAACCTTTCATGCCTATCTCCTCTATGAATCTAACTTAGAGTGTCTGGATTTCAAAGTGTGATATGGCAGCGATATCGGAGCTCCTATCATAACTGACAAGACTGGCAAGTTTTTCCTTGCTTTACTTCATTGATATATGACTGCAAGTTCTTACAGTTGTGCCACTCTTCTCCATGTTGTGTTTTGTTTAAACTGAGGAAAGGCTGTTACGTTGCATATAGACAATTTAAGTTGCTTTATACTTTAACAGTTCGTTATCTGGGTAGAGGTTGGAAATTACCTTGCACCAGCCTGAAAGCCAGACTTTTGGAAGCACGTAATTGGCCAAGGAATATACTTAAGTGAAACTTGACTGACTAGCAAGCCAGGAGAGGAGGAATGATGGTGATGTACACATGATGATCCATTTTTGATAGTTAGCTACCATTGACTTGCAGTGTGTTCACTGCTTTTTTTGCTGCCCCTCCTTCTCTCAGATTCCTGGGGTAGACTGGAATCAGCTATGTGAAACGTTGCTTCTGGAAGCTGCTGTCTTGGCATGCTGCGAACAAGAATGCTTACCTGAAGAGCTGTTCTGTGTAGCAAAATATGCAGGGGGAAGAAACTGGGGGGTGAAAAAATGAGGAATATGAATTCTAGGAACACGAGGAAGTTGTTTGCTCTCAAGAGAATGAGGAAACCTGAAGATAACTGTGATACTCTTGTCCACACTTATAAAGATTGCCTTCAGTTTACAGCTTCATTTGAGCTTTATTTTATTTCAAACTGAGCATCAGTCAAATGTTAAACCTTAACATCTTCGTTTTCTGCTCTGTAGTGCCCCCAAGTGACTAATTTCACTCTTGAGTAGTCATTGTAAGGAATTCATTACTAGGGATTCCAGTTGTTGCTTTGAAATGCAGGTTTCATACTGAAAGCTAATAGAAGGGCGTGCTAGTGGATACTTGTTTTGAAAGTCCCTGTGATTCCCTCTACCCCATAATATTTCGAGTGATCTCTAACATCACATTTATACATATAAAAATCAATGATTTCTCTAACAAAACTTTTATTCAGTCTTTAGTCACTTAACATAAGTTTTAGCTGAATGATTCTAGTCTGTCACCCAGGGAGGTGTGTATCTCTTTGCCAGTGCTGCACCAAAGTTTCCCCAAACGTTACAGATGAGGAGCAAGGTTTTACTTCAGCTCCTCCAAAGTTGGGGGTGTTGGCAACGGACTTAGTGCAACTAGAAATGCAACTTGTGCATCTGAATGCTTAGAGGTGGGGTGCAGGAGTTGAGACTTCTGCATGGCCACGTCTGCTTTTGGGCCAGCCTGAGCCTCTGTGTCATTATCTGTGAATATTGGTTTCAGTGTTCCCATTTTACAGCTGGAGAAGCTGGTCTTCCATGGAGAAGTTCTTAAACAAAAAGTGCTATGAAGGAGTGACACTATTAATGCTTCAGAATATGAACCTGAACAAGCTATTCAATGTGTTTTGTCTCATCCATGTAAAATCGGCAGCCCAGCAACTCTCTGTCATGGAAACATGGGCAAAAGCTCCGACTCCAATAAAGTGTTTTGAAGTGTGCATGTTACAACAGTTACTCAGTAGCAGCTGCAAGGCAAAAGGCTTTTAACTATTAATCTAATTCTTCAAGCCTCAGCAGCTTGAAAGACTCTCGCTGTAGGCTACAGAAATGGATCTTCTTTTTTTTAATTAATTTTTAAGTTTTTCTTTCAAGATGTGCTAAGAGGACTCTGGAATAGAGGGAGTAGCTCTTGTTTAAGCTGAAAAAGGTGCTCCCAGATGTTTGGGATATGAAGACTTAGAAATGTAAATCATGCAGGATTTGAAACTGGGAGTAAGAATGAATCTTTATGTTTCTGACTTGAGTCTGTCTGTTTACTTTACAGGTGAATGGAAAGCCAGTAGCAAGAGATGCCGGACACCCCCATTACCCTTTCAATGACCCCTATTAACTACCAGAAAATATGCCCTTCCACAAAATAATTGTTGCCACAATTTGTCTAAAAAAACTGTCCAGATAAAACTTTCCTTCCTGATAAGGTTTACTTACAATGTAATGCTTCTAATTGACCTCCTTCCTGGAGATACTATAGCTTCCATGTCAAAGTTTGTGGATTTATTACAATGACTGCAAGCTTGTTCCTGGAAGGATCAAATCTTTTGGAGATTAGATCAAGAGTGGAGGAGTCTAAATCAAGTTCCAAACATGTCATTATAAGGCTACAGCAAAACTCTGGGTTTGCTGCCTGTGAAACAGTTTTGAAAGCTTTAGTTATTACCATGAGGGGTAAAACAAAAAAAGGGTGAAGGCGTGAAAGTATTTTAAAAGTAAACAACTGCTCAGCCACCAACTTTGGTAGCTTTATTAATATTTTTTTATATAGGGAACAAAGTGAAATGTGCTACAGTTGCACTATGTCCATAAACTATTCATTAAAACCCAAGTAACAGCCAGGCCCAGTGCTTTGTATCCAGTTTAGAGTACGGATGGGACTTCTCTTTCTTTTAATTTTGAGAAAGATTTGAGAATAAATGCATACCCTGGAGCAGGCCTTCAGGGCAGTCCTCTTGCTTGTCACATGGATAAATTTCAGCTCTGAGAATAGCTCTGATCGTCCTATCACAAAAGCCTCAAGAAATCTTTTCTACAAGAAAAACATCCTGCCTTTCCCATAAAATTGCCCCAAGTCTCTTTACCAGAGATGTCCAGTTTGAGTTCTAGGTCACAAAATTAATTCCTGACTGTACAGTAAGAGCAAAGACCTGTCAGAGGGCCCCTTCCATTTTAACGTTGCATTTTTCACTGCTGCCTGGTTGAAGCTTGGGAGAGCTGGTCCTGTCTCCTGTTCTACCGCTGACCTGCTGGTAACACCTGGCGAGTCATTTGTCTGTCTTGTGCCTCTGTTTTCCCACTTGCCTTGTCTCTGTGTTACTTCCCGGTAGGGATGAATTTACTGAGTGCTGATAGATTGTTGAGCAGGACTGGAACTCTAGCAACGGTTTTGGTTTTTTTCAGTCTCTTAACAAATTGTCTAGCCATCTGAATCCAAAAGGCATGAGGTATTACTACTACCAGTGCTCTGGTGGTGATACCTTCTGTGGCCTTAGCAATGTTAACACTGTGTTTTGGTTTTTTCTACCTGTAAAATAGGATTAATGCTCATTTGCCTTGGTGCAGACAGAGTAGCAAGGCAGAGTTTCTAAAGGCCTCTCGGATTTAAAACAAAGGAACTCTTTCAGATCTGTTGATGCCATTGAGAGACAGTCATAGGCACGACTCCTTTTTTTGCTGCTGGATGAAGAAAGCTTAACTGACTGAAAGTGAAATACACTTATTTTTTCGTTTTCCCGTAGCAATAACAAGCATAGAATTAGAAAAATAACTGTCTGTATTCAAATAGTTCAAAACCTTAAGAATTAGATTCTTTTAGTTGTGATAACCTCATTTACAGTAGGCCTATAGTGAAACTATATATTCATCTCAAGTGCAATGCCTCCTCAAGTATTTCCTGCCTTGGGCCTCACAGCATGCACCCGAACTGGAACAAAGCTGTTTATCACTTTTTGTAATCCATATGTAAAATTTAAAGAACTTCTGTTTCTCAGTAAAGTGTTTCCTAATTAAAAAAAATTTACCTCAGTGGAGAAAGTCATTACAGCTCAGTTAGGATTCTTTACTAGACTGGACATTTTCTTCTAAGGGAAATGAAGTCACTGGGGTTTTTTTGTATTCTAATCAAACACAGGTGACTTTGAATATGGTTCTTACTGCAAATCAGTAGGGAAGCAGTTTTAATTTGAAGGCGCTATGTAGAATGTTAACAGCAGTGACCCTGCCAAGAAAAGTGGCTTTTGTTGCATATATTTCCACTTGCATGTTTGCACTTCTTGCACTACTGTACTCAGCATATGACTTTTGAGACACCCCACCCCCCCACCCCAATGTCAGGGCCCCAATTAACTTTTTCTAGAGTGAGTTGAGTAGAGAGAATTTCCAAGAAAAGCAGGTTAATTCTGTGTCTCTATTAAACCCACAATTCCTAGCTCTGTTACTGCATGGAGAAACATTGCACAGTTGAAGCTGGTGAACTTTTATCTTGAAATAACATAGGGGAAAATGAGCCTCCAGGTCTCCACCAATGGCTTTGCTGCTGCTGTGCAAGTTTTCTGGAGGTCTCTGCTGTCACAGGAGCAGCAGCCATGTCTGCCTTGTCTGGTAGGTTACGTGTTGGCGAGGGGGGAAGCAAAGCATCTGTGTGAGCTGAGCCGGAGGCAATGGACTGCTCACCTCGAGTAGGCTGAGGTTGAACGTGGCAAGATGGTGCCAGGGCAAGAGCGGCAGTGCCTCCTGAAATGTAAAGCAGAGAAAGATGAGCCCTTCAAAGAACGGGCTGGTGGTATCGTCGGATGTTAACGAAGGCCTGCCCCCCGCTCTGGGTCAGACCGCAGGGTGTCTGCCTGCCTGCGCAGCGGTGCTGAGGAGGCGCCCTGCCTGCGAAGCGGAGCAGACCGGGCAGCAACGGCCTGGCTCGTCCTTCTTGCCTTCCCAGACATGCGCCGAGGCGCAAACCCGGACCGCAGGGTTTTTTCCCCGCGGCGCCCACCCCCACAACATGTCCACCTACCCCCGGGGCTGGGAGGGAGGTGGCGAGGCCCCGGGGCCCACCCAGCCTGGCAGGGTCGGGGCGGACTACCCTTCCCAGCATGCGGCGCGGCAGCGGCTCCTCAGCCGAACTCAATTTCCCTGCGCTGCATGCGCGGTCCCGCCCCGCCTCACCCAGCACTACACTTCCCAGCGGGCTGCGCGGCCTCGTGGCGCCTTTTCCCCTCCCGGACCTACATTTCCCAGCAAGCCCCGCGCGGCGGCGTCCCTCAGTGTCCCGCAGCGGGCCG